TTTGTTATTCTTAAATCGAATTTTCAAACTGTGTTTTAATGTTTTATTGTTGTACAACTCCTGCTGGCTGCTGTGTAATACTTACCCACCTACCTACCTAATAACGACGAAGTCTGAATGTTGTGCAAAGTGGTTGTGTTAACGTAACGCTCGACGTTGATGTACGTTCGTGGTTCCTACTTTGTATGATGAAGCGTCGCTGCCGCCGCAGCCGTGATATACCTACAAGATACAATATATATATATGCATAAAATATTATTATTAAATTATACTGTTCGAAAGAGTGATGTACGAGATAAGGACGTTTGCGTTTTCCCCTGCAGTGTCATTCACCTCATTAGTCGATCTGGGTATAGTACTATGATTAAAATGAGTTTTATTAAATATAATATAGCCGTTGGGTGGGTTATAGAATTATTTACGATTTGCATGCGAGTCCGCACGTATGAATTCCACAGGTTTTCAGGTATTACTTTATAAGGTCGGATTATAAAACATGTCAACTCTACCACTACAACTTTTTTACCGGCACGTAAATATAAATGTATAAGCTCAACCGGTGGGTATTAGCAAACTCTATCCTATTGCGCAGTAAGGCTTATTTTTTAGTTTAAAAAAGGTCAAGTGTAAATTCTACCAGCTCATCCTCAGTTCTACCCGAAGGTATAGCCGTAAAGGTAAACTCCGCACCCGCTTACACAGATTGGATGGGGCTCTCCCTGCTGGATTTTTAATCATAATATTAAGTTACCATGATTTTTTTCATCGTTGAATCGATCCATTAAAATATCCATTAAGGACACCTTATATTATCTCCTCTACAAATCATTTTTAATATCAATTAAGTTTATGATTTAAAGTATTAACATTGACGCGAAACGTTATTGTAGACCTATATACGTGTTTATTATTGGATTGTTTAAAATTTATTATTTGCTAAATGTTAATATATAAACAATATTTTATGTTGGCGTGACTGTAAAACATACCTCTTCTGAGACTCTGGTAAGCTTATACATTCCACGAGTAAAAATTAAGTTGACCCATGAGACTATGAGAGTTTACATACAGGTAGAACTGAAGTCTCTCCGGGACAGTTGTTAATCATCGGGACATTTTAAATACAATTTGGTAGAGTTTACACTCACCCCCCCCCCTGGTAATACATTTATGTAATTTATTCCACCGAAATAATTTAACTTGAAATTAATGAAATTAACTCCAATTAAGTATATAAATAAGTTGACAAAAACAGCAAGTAGGTATAAGCTAAGTAATTTTGGTCATTAAATTTTAAGGAAAACTCAATTTAATAAAATGTACCTAATTTATTTTAAATTAGTATATAGTTTGAAAATGTATCGTATTGTTTATATATATTTATATATAATATTACATATACTTTAACACACCCTTGGCCAAAATCAACTAATTAAATTAATTTATCCAAAATTGCTATCTGCGGAGTTGACATTTAATTTCAGTAGAAACATAATAATTATTATAACTGTATAGCGGTGGAATTTTACGTTAAAAAAAGGTAAGCGGAATTTATGCTCAAACGGGCACGTTTCTCTAAAAATGTTTTCCTCGAAACAGATTGAAAGCTTACTATAATTTGGAGCACTACAATATAATAGAATACCCCACGACCATCATACATTACCTAATATACACAATGAAAAATTTGCGATTTTACAATAAGTTTTCCATTAATATGATGCTTACCTAACACCTATAATATATATATATATATATATATATATATATTGATTACGTAATATTATTAATATGTTTTGTGACTTATAAATCAATATTTTATTTAACGGTCGTCTTAAGTTTTCATATCTGCGATTCTGTATACCTTATAGTATAATACCTTGTGGTATATTATAAAATGTTTGAATATTATTTCGGTGTATAAAATAATATATTAAAAACTGTACAACGTGGAGAATATAATATTCTACACGTAGGTATACTACGCGTGTGTACGAATATATTTTTTATATTGCAGTTTAGAGTTTACGAGCAAAGTGATAAAAACTTTTCTTTACGCTTCTACGTGCACACCTCGTTTTACGTTTAGTGGATCATCATGTTGCCGTATTTATTATTATTATATATATAACACAGTCCTCGCTGCCCTGTAGTAACTTGACAAAAAAAAAAAAAACAGAAAAAAAACCCATATATATTACTTACTGCAGCGCTCAGTGTATGACAGTCTCTATACCTAAGTGTTCTCGAAACGTGTTGCTAAATTACGCGATCCATTTTATTTCATTTTTTGTTTCCTTTCCGCAAACATAGGTATACCCCGTTTGAATTTTTTCCACAGCAATACAATTACACATACACACGCACACAATAATATAGTATATATATATATATGCACTTCGTATCCTCAACAATGAGTGAGATCAGTTATTTGGATTATTTATTTTCATGTGTATATATATATTATATATATATCTTTATTTATTCGCATCTGGTCGTCTTAGAAAAGGTTTACACGCATCTACACTGCGTGAAGGATAAATCCTATTTTATCGTTTCACCTGTGTACCGCAAAATACGCCTGTACAGGGTGGGTCACCGTAGTGATTTTCAAGTTTTCCGTGTCGGTCTTAACGAGGAAATGCACAAATACAGTGAGCCACCCAATAAGAAGTGCGGTGAATCAACTTTTATATAAATTATACAATATATATCATTTTTTTGTTTAACTAAGCATATTTTGTTGAAATATTCTGATTTTCGTAATTTTCAAGTTTACTAAAATACCAGTATATAAATCGAAATATACTAAGAATAAAAGTCTATGATAAATGATAATATAGGTTTATACCCAAATATAACCATATTGTTGTAAGATTTTGGAGCTAAGATAATTTGAAAATTATATTAATTTATATTAGGTAGACGCTAATAATTTATAATTACCCGACCATAAAAGTAAGTACCTATTTACTAAAATATTACAAATTTTATTTTAAATCTTATGTAAATCCATGATACAGGATTATTATTCTTAGTGAATAACGTTGAATAACTAGGTAGGTACCTAGTCATTCGAATTTCGGTTTAAATGCAAAAATAGACGTTTTATCGCTGCAGGATACTCAATATTTGGTATAAAAAATCCAAGTATATGAAAATATGGTCTTTAAGCATACTTACTTAAAATTTACAAAAATCAGTATTTGACTAAATGTATTAATAAAATTAGGAATTGGGGTTAGCGTACTTGGTGAATCACATTATGGTCTATAATCTATATATTATACAAATATATTTTCAATTATATCAATGAGCTGGATGATGTTTTTATAACAAATTTCCCTGCAATTGCCATAGACAATAATGTAGGTATGAAAATGAAGAATATGATTGATAACTTACCATTTACACATCCATGCACATCATTTAGTTTTGATTTCCTTAAAAATCTCTATATCTGACTAAGAATTTGCCATGTCACTAAAAAAATCAATAGAGATCTACTTACAACACCAAGGAAAAATCGTAAACCCAATATTTTTCCCATTCATAAATGTTTATTTATTTTTAATATTATCCTATATATTTCAACTATTAATGTAAATAAATGTAATTGATTAATTATTTGTAGTGTTATTACTTAATAGTTGTTATAGTGACAGAATCAAACAAAGGTAAAAGAGTTTGGTAATAAATTAACCGTAGTTAATTAAGTTAATTAAACGTTTAGAATGTTAAGTTATAACTTATAAGTTAATAGACAATAGTTAACAAACAATATTTTTAATTCTAAAAGTTTAAAGTTTAAAGTGTTGAAAAATGTTAATTTCACTCAATTAAAAAGAAATTAATTAATTGGTTTTAAATCGCAACCTGGGTCGCACATAGTGATAATGTAATTTCATTAAAAAAAAAAAAATAATTACTAAAAATTTTGTCAAAAACTAATCATAATTATATCCTATTGTTTTTTTATTACACACTAGCTTAAGTGGTTTAATTATCTAGAACATGATTTTAAATTTTATTTTATTTTCAAATTAATTGTGACAAGTGTAATGTATTACTGATTCTTTAAATAGTATAGTTATTAAGTTAATTAGAAACTAACTAATTATTTAAGGTCTAAAATGTCTAAGATCTATGACCTCTTACATAGTTAATGCCCAAATTTGGAATTATAACGTGTCTTTCAGATTTTGTCACACTGATTTTTATTTCTTTAATATGGTGACTGATTTTAAATTTGCCCTATGCTGGTTGTGTTAATTGTTACTAGTGTAGATTCTGATTATAGTCTGTCTCTCCAAAGAAAGATACCATGTCCCGACGATATCCGGCCATTCTTGCGCATCCCCACCTAAAATCTGGGAATAAATCAAATGATATTTAAACTTTGTAGTTTCATAATATTAAACTTCAAATTTTTAGTATCAGACGCTCATAAAAAATATTAGTAGAATTATGCTCAACTTTATTTTTTAATTCAAGTAATAATAACTTATGAGGAATCTTAAATATAAATGTGAACATTACAATTTGTTAATGATATTAGGTACTAATTGAGTTACAAATGTTGTCAAAATTCTATCTTTGAACTTACTCTTATAAAACTCTTTGGCTTGACCAACTATTTTTGTTTTTTTTTTTTTAATTGGTCTATGAACAACTTATATGAGGAACCTTGCATTATATTTCGAGGTTTTTTATTGGATTATTGAAATTTATTAAAGTAAACCACATTGTCAAATGTATACAAAAATTATAAATAGGTATATTACGTAGGTAGTATGTATAGGACTAATACTACTATAAGATATATCATAAAATGATAAAATATATCTAGTATCTACCCATAAAACTGTAGCACACAGATGTATGTTTTCATAATATTATAAGTTACAGTACACTACATTTGATACTTATTCGATTTTATTGGCTCCACGCGTTGTTGGCGCAATAAAATAATAACAAAATCATTTAAAATCGAATTTATATGGGTCCCTCGCACACTGGCATAATTGGCAACGGACTAGCTGATAGGGCTGCCAACGAAGCAATTGCTTCACCCAGCTCGTTAAGAATAAACAAAATAACATTTCAAGACGCACTCATAAAAATCAATAATCTAACTAAAAGACATTGGCAAGACTTGGGAGGAGACTTCAAAGTTCAAATACAAATCAACTTAAAGAAATCAAAACATCAATCGACCCACGGAAAACCCTCTCACCCTCATCCAGGCACGAAGAAGAAGTTATCACAAGGACTCGATTGGACACTCCCGTCTAACACACTTGCACTTCATAACAAAAGAAGACTGTCCGACCTGTGAACTCTGTGACAAAGAACTGACGATCAAACACTAGAATGCACAAAGTTGAACAGCTGTAGACAAATTTTCTGAAACCCATCAACTATGCAACAAGCACTTGACGAAGAGAATTCCAAAAACATATACAATTTTTTCACAAATATAGGCTTAGCAAAATTACATAAATAAAATACATTTATTTATATTTCATAAACTCCCGTTACCGTTAAACATAATATAACATAATAGTTTTAAGACCAATACGGCAATACTATGTAATTATTACAGGCTAATGATCTCAGAAGTTGAGGCCTTATTAACCCCGCCCCCCCAAAAAAAAACAAATACCTAAAAACAATATATCTACCCGTAAAACTGTATCACACAGATGTAGGTTTTCATATTATAAGTTACAGTACACTATTGATACTTATTCGATTTTATTGGCACCACGAGTTATTGGCGCAATAAAATAATAAAATAATCATTTATTTCAGGGCTTAATGCACCGCGCCATAGCGATTTAGCGTTTGAGCTCTTATACACTATAATTATACCTAATATAGTATATGGCTTATACTATTGTTGTGTATACATATATAGGTTTGCGGGTATATTGTTGAGTGCGTAGCTGTGATCTCACCAACGATGTTATACACCCGTAATTGAATTAATTGTATACCTACATATTCGGCTCAGAACGAGTACCTACGTAATATTATTATATTTTGTAACGGCTCAAGCGCTCATGTGTTGTGTTATGAGCATAACATTATAATATTACTACCAAATGAATATAATATCGACCCTCTGCTTAAAACGGTGTACTTTCGTTGGGTAAGTTATGACTCGCAGCAGTGCAAAACATATTTAATATTTAAAGTAATGACAATAGTTTAATATTTGAATATGTATATAAACGGTGTCCGATCATCCGAATAAGTGAATTTTGAAGAAGGAAATTACTACAATATTTAGTCGTACAAAAGTTTGTACTCCACTGACGGAATCATAATAAGACGAACACCCGAAAACCATTATTTGACTAATTAGTACATAACAGCTGGAAAATACGATGTATCTTTGCGAGGGTAGGACGGGAGCAATTACGTCGTTTTCCTCGAAGGCACGAAGTCAAACGACTATCGCCATCTTTAGTTTTACATACATCGGTCCATTTTTCGTTTTCGTTAACCTATGCTTGTGAACAACGATAGTATGAATTTAAATTTCAAAATAATACTATATTTAATTCTTAATATTTAAATATTAATATAAATGTTGTAGTGGTTTGCCACTAACGACTTATTACTCGAAGACCTAAATGTAAAACCTTAAAAACACTCCCTCCCTATTCAACTCACGACTTCAACACTAAACATTTTCACATCAGACTCATCTCCCTACCGGGGAATCCTAGTCTTTTGTTATATATGAAATTCTATATTTTACAATATGTAAGTACGTACAATTAATATATTAAATGGTTTTTTTTTCATATAGCTGGTATACAATTGTCAATCGGTAAACAAATCCACAAGGTCCATCGATCATCAAAAGTCATACAATATATTCGTTAAATTAAGTATCTATACATAATACATAACTATAGATAATAATATATTGATATGATCTGTGTGACTTTTTAATGAATAAAATTTCAATATTTCAAATTTTCAAATTTTAATTGATGTTCAAGAATAAAAAATTATAATATATATTATAATAGGTAATTAATAATATTGCTTCAGTGCTATAGCTCCAGTGCTATAATATCAAGTGCATTAGAAACGTTGTAATGTTAAAACATTGTGAAATCGATTTTGCATGATATTAATAACAATATCGTAAATGTAATAAATCGTAAAACGTTCTGCCAACAATATACGAGAGCGTATTATGTAGGTGACTATCACTAACGAAAGTTCTGAACACGATTTTATATTTTTGACGATTTTTTCTTGGCCGTTATAATGGTTTATAAACGATTCGGGTAAATACCATAATGATTAATTACAGGCAAACGTATTACCTATACTTACGCTTGATAACATTGACAGGGCTCCGGAACAGATTTGGGGAAATTTGTTGTAGTCGACGTGACATGACGCGCTGTGGTACATTCGATTTCCGGACCAGCTTTGACCACATGTCTCTGAATAGTTTATTGGTGAAAAAGGAGTAAGGGGAAAAAATATAGTTTTGGAAAAATAACAATGTTTTCGATATAACCAATGAATGTTTACTGTTATAAGAATCACCCTATATAACACTATTAACACTTTATAAATTGATTATAATGAATATACATGAATAAATATTATACGGTTCGTCGAGTTTCGTTAGTATCGACAGTGGGTGGAAATTATGATAACATATTTTAAGTATAATAATGAATGAAGATAATATTTTCGATATAATTTTTTTCATTTTTTTATACATGGATTTATGTAATTTAGGTATAATAAAAATAAATATCATACACATATTCTAAATATAAGGAAAATAAAGTAAGTAGCACAAAAAACCAAACAAAGAAGAGTTAGGTATTCATAATGTATCTAGTTCTATGTTATGTATTTCTTAAGTAATTTGCTATAAAAATTTTAGATTGACTAAAAAAATCGATTATTTTTTAAGTATCACACAGAGAAATTAAAACATTGCTTCTTGATTTTTTTATATATTTTGTACCTAGTAAAGTACCATATTTTTGTATAAAATAAATCAGAATATCAGCCGCTTATTGGATTATTTAACATTTTATATTTTGCTGTTATTCAGGACATCTTATCATATTTTTAAGTATTTTATACAAAAATGTTAGTTTAATTTGTGTGAATCGCTGTTTTACCGGTTGTATCTTAAAATAGCGGATTCTAACATTACAACCAGAATGAAGTGTTTTATTAACAAAACATTAATAACATAAATATCTGATAAAATTATTTTGGCCTATGTTAACAATTTATATTTTGTATTTTTGCTACTGAATATATGGATGCCAGGTTAAGAGTGCTCAATCAAAATGTGAATGGATTAATATGTGAACCTAATATAATATTTTTAATGCCGATTTATCTCTAAAATGTCAATAAGTGAGTTTTAAAAACACTAGGACTTTTATGGACGTGTTTAAAATGACTTTAATAGTAAGTTTTATAATTATAAAGAACAAAATCAATCTTATTGAAAACAAAATAGTTAAACATAATTCATAAAAAACAAATAAAAATAAAAATGTAATTGATAAAATAAATATCAACAAAGAGTTTTTTGTATTAATTATATTTCAAGGTATCATTAGGTCATTAGGATGTTACGAGTATACCGTTTCATTTTATATAATATATTTTTTATTTTTTGGTCTTCAACATTTATAATATATATTTGTAATAATGTGATGTTTTTTCCGGACACTGCATCCTTTTTAAAATGCTCACCAAACAATCGCTAACAAAGGACACGGTAGTTTTGATGAATTTTTTATTTGATACATTTTTATACAGTTCAAAGCTGAAACTTTTTTTTAATTGCACTATACAATTATTAGTTTAATAATATATCGGTTGTTAAATGCATTCCTGGTAAAATGATGCTAATTAAGTCATAATATAAATTTATTACGTTTTCACGAAATATTTTATACATATTCTAAACAGTTGAACTTTATAATGGCATAAAATAGTTAATTATTTTAGTCCGAAAAACCAATAATACACAACATAGATATTATAATATTAATGTTAATGTCTGGAAGGTGTGAAGTTTTATCTGAAAATTTATTTTTACGAACGCGCCTCACCATGACATGTATTTACAATTTATAACATATGTATATATTACAGCCCCCACGTGCAATTTATTAACCACGATCTATGCCATAAACTCATTACTTGAGATCATTAGGGAGGGTTCGTTATAACTTAAAAAAAAAAAAACCGCTAAATGTAAGCTTTATATTGATGAAACAATTTCGTATATAAATAAATTTAGGGTTCGGGACTTGACTTGTTGCACTAAATATTATCGAAATATGATGCATTCAAAGTTGTCAAAATATTCTTAAATATATACTACATATTCTTTAATATAAACATACTACAATTTTGGTAATAAAAAACTAAAAAATAAGTAGGTACCTATATACATAGTTTATACACGGGCTTACTAATTTTAATATAGGTAGGTACCTATATTGATTAATGTGATGGACGGAGTACACTATTGCATGTTTTGTACATTTTTAAACTATTGTGAAATAAATCAACTTGATTTTTAAAAATACTGGAATAAAATACTATACGTTAATAAATATGTAATAAAGAATAGGTAACGTGATATGCGAACACCGTAATAAACGAACACGTATATCTACTGATTTTCATTTCTTCGTACAATCTAGAATGTAGATGTCAATTATAGTTTTAACACAGTCTTGTTATAAAGAGACTTATAAAATCTTACATACCATTCGACATACTCATTTCGAATTTGGTAGCGGAAAAAATATGAATATGAATTGTACAAATATATTTTTCGTATTTTATATATGTGTCGTCTGTTTGTAGTTTGCTTGTACCCGCCATCATTATAAAGATTAATCTGTCGCACAGTTACCACGGTCGTGTATGACTGAAGCTCAGGGAAATATTTTTAACCTCTAAATCCCTAAAAATACGACGAGGATTACACAGCTGTCGTTTTCACCAACGCTGATGTCATAGGTCGATTTTTTAGGGTGTCATAAATAATAATATTTATACCACCCTAACCCTATCCGTCAACTCCGACGAAGCTGCTATAAGTGGTTTATTCTTCCACTAGGTTGGCACCTCTTTTATCATCGTTTTAATATTTAAAACATTATTCATAAACGCGCATTTTTCGCGGACGTCGTTCATATTTATAAATTATAAATTTATCATACATACAAATATACCTATATTATATAAGCAGGTACCTACTCGAACCTATAGTACCATTATATTTAATTTTATATAGTTGTTATCAAATTCAAA